GACAGGTGGCTATCTCATTAACTCAGCTCTCAACTAACATAAGAAAAAGAGGATCACGGGGGACCAACATGCACCGATTTGGGAAGTTTTATATATAGAGGGAGCAAGTAGCTACAAGTAGGACAGTGGGGCTTAAAGGAAAAACAAATTTTGAAATGAAAACTAAATTAAGTTATGGGGATGTTGAACTTCCGCCATAGCAAGACGGGCGGTGTCTCCTGGGATACCATTGTCTGACATCAAATGTCATCAATCCCGTCCAATATCTCTCAGCTATTTGACATCGGGTGAACGGTGCAAACAAAAACTGAGCCCTCTTTTAAATCAAGTCAATTGCGCCGCGAGCGGCATGTGCTGTTTGATAAACTCTTCTGAATATGAGCACCATTATATGCATTCGTCTCGTCTGGTGTTCATGCCACATAATGCCTGTCGGTTATAAGAACAATATGTAGACTAATATAATCAGGATAAGACTACTAATTTTAAAGCGACATTAAACATAAGTGTAAGCGTTACAAATGCTAGATGATCATGGTGATCATAACAAATTATCATGCTTCAAGTGAGCATTTAAGAAATCTTGGAAGCCCTTATATTAAGGAATGTGTTTTCTTATATATATATATATATATATATATATATATATATATAAAGGTAACATTTCTCTTATCAGAAATTTAAGATTTTGTTCTACTTACTTTCCTGTAAATATTCATTATCAAATGCCAATTATTCATTTTGCTTGTTCGAAGTGGTGAGGTTTTAATTTGCGAAGATTCAAGGTTTCGATAAAGCAATCATTGTAGCGTTCGGAAATATAGGCACTTTACCCATTTATTCAGGGTTTTATTCTTTTAGTTTATATTTCATGTCTATCGTGGTTGTTAATACCACCACAATGGCAACAAATCATACCACAGCTAAACGATTTAAACAAAATTACTTTCGGTGATGGCGTGACGAATAAATGAGGATATCATTTTTGTGTGAAACAATCACGATTTTAAAATGAAGGATACCGGAAAGAGATACGAGTATCGATAATGCCTAGAGGTATAATGAAATCCAGCTTCCGATACCTGTTATTTGATAGCATTTTTGGTTGTGAGACTCCTCCGAGGGAACTTCAATTGTCAGCATGGTCAAGCACTCTAAAAGTTGTTTCCTTTTTTTGTTCAGGATAAAAATCATGAAGAAGTTAGATTTCTTAAATACCTTTGAATCCCAGTCTAGCCAAAGGAAGTTGTTCCAATCAATAACATATCAATGTGATTACGTTTCTACCCTTTTTTTTTAAATGTTGCATTTGAATCGAAGAGAGGAAATGCGGAGGACTCCTAGAAAGCTGCTATACGGAATCAAATTACCAGGTAGAAATTGGAACTATACATAAGCTTCAACTGTAAACAAAATACAAAAGTATTAGGGTCTCCAGATAGTTTTCTTACTAAATCGGCAATACAATAGGAAACGATTATGATACACGTGCTTTTTCTGTAATAATTTGAAACACCCACACCAAACTTGTCAAAATAAGCTTGGAAAAAAATATATCTTGGAAAAATAAAAACGTCTTGAAAGACATGACAGTTTTTTCTCTCACATTTCCAATTAATGCCTGGATTACATTTGGCCTGCGATTAGTCTGCGGAGCCCGTATCCTGTCGTATTCCCTTTTCCGTGCGGCCTCTGTGGCAGGAGGCGGTTGTGAGATTTTAGTACGGATTCACGGGCTCCGCAGCCTTTACGATTTTGTTTCGCGAGAAGTTAAACAAATTTGAACAAATCGTAAGCCCGTAGCCCGTATACATGTCGTAGGTGGCATTGCACAATCCCCGCACGGGCATCGCCCGGAGGCCTCGCACTGATTGTGCAGCAAACGTACGATTTTTCGGTGAACATGGGGGCAAGGAAAATCGTACGGAGATTGTAGACTCATGGGGCATTCGCACGGCAATTGCACAGCTATCACAAGGTTGATGTACGGTCACCGCGCCTTCTCCGCCCAACCTTTGCACGGAAGCTGCACGAGCTCCGTATGATTTCCGTGCGGAGGTTGCGGAGACTGCACGGCTACTGCATGCAAATTGCACGATTTCCGTACAATCTCCGAGCAGCCTCTGTACGGATTTGCCCCGGCCTGCCCCCAAGGGCCAATACAATAAATGGCACGATGCTCGTAGATAATGTAAACACGAACATCGTAGCCCGTAGCCTCCTACGATGTCTACAAAAAATCGTAGACTAATTTATCGTACGGCGCCCGGGGCAAATGTAATCCAGGCATAAGCCATAACAACATCTAAGATCTCTGACAAGCGGAACACGTATGTCCAGGGAGGGGTGGGCACTCGGCTCGAAGTATGTACAAAATCGACCCCATCCGCCCCCCCCCCCCGCCCACTCCCCCGATCGCGACCTGTTAATATGTATGTGAACAAACTTTGATTTTTCTTACTATATGTATAACATGTGTGGGAGGGTAAGGGGTGAAATACTTCTGTAAAACTAAGATTCATTTATCATTAAGCGCGATATATTATGATACATTAATTTAAGCACTGTGACCGCAACACGGCAACAGTATATAACTGGTCGCTTTGGTTCATCTTTGAATTTGAACTTTGAAGTATTCAAACTAGATTTATATCCCAGCTGTCTTACGTTATTTCGTTTTACTGAACATTAAACACTATACCCCGAAATTCAGTCCAGCCGATATCTTGGGTTAACTTTCACCCTTTTAGAAAAATCAAATACAAATGCCATACTTTAATTTCCGAGGATATCTGGAGGGTATAAAGTCACGTCCAGACTCGAGATTAATTACATGAAAGAGAATACTTAAAGTGGCTTATTCGACCAAGCTCTTATTGCAAACATGGCTGGACCGGGGGTGAGATATTGAAGCAATGAACTTTCAAAGTTTAGCAATCTTAGGGGCGTGCTGTGTTGCGTGTATTTACACGGACTTTCAATTTTGGGGATAAAAATCGATTAACTGAAGTGTCCTGAAGTTACCAATATCCCTTCTACCACGTCTACACCTTGGATAATTGAAGAACTTTTGTATCAAGACCTCCATTTTTTAAACGTGTGATATTAGTTTATTCAGTTGAGTAACTACCCTAACCGAAAATGAATTCAACAGCGTTAAGAAACGCATCCTTTCACCGACGTTTCTCATTGAATGTTGCATTAAAAGTACTTATCTGTGGATTATTAAGGACTTTCTTACTTGCGTAGGTTTGTTTGTTTGTTCGTTCATTTATTTTGCTATTCATTTAGGGGGTCTTGCTTGCTTCCTTGACAATAAAGTTGTCCAAATTACCATGTTGTATAATAACACATAATAATGTTGGCAATGGCTACGCCGAAACTGACTATTGTGCGAATGTAGTGCATTAGCACAACATTTTTAGTAACCAGGAATAGCCAATTTGTATCTTATCTCGCAAATCTTATCCAAGGGTACAATGCAAGTATTCGAATTTTGGGTACTGCCTCTCATTTCCGTTCAGATGAAATCGTGATCATAATCAAAGAGACAAGACGTAACGATGGTCAACAATGTGTCTGTTTAATATACGTGATACGTCGGAGAGAACGCAATAAATTGATAGGTCGGAGAAAACGCAGTAAATTGATAAAGGAAAGTCTTTATGTTTCAATTCCCTTCTCCTGCGGCATCTAACTTTGACATCGAAATAGACGTCCTTGATGTTGAAGTGTTTGCGTCTTTATCTATTTCGATCCGACTCAGTCTGTCTAGTAATGACTTCCACAGACAAGACAGAATATAAAAACGACAGGGGTTTAAAAAAAAACACCATTTGATATCATGCTATCGCTCTGAACTTTAGGAATGAAAACTCATATTCTGTTGACTTAAAGATGGGGTAGGTCGTGAGGGTTAGCCAGCAGATGTTTGCATGGCTATTTCTTCTCTCCAAAGACGGTAGAGGGCCGGAGGAGCTAGGGGAGGGGGTTGCAGGGATGCGTATCCCCTCAGTTTTTATTTAGGACTATAAATAAATACAAAAGCGCCTCGAAGTGTCTGATGAGTCGATGTGCTCCCTTTATCATCGAACCATAGGTCGACCGCTGCTGTCATGGACTAGCCAGTAGCGGATCCACGAGGAATCCATAGTCGATCTCTAAACGCACCAGACAAACTATTTGCAGAACAGGATGGCCGATGGCACATAATTAATGTTGATAGTGCTTGCCAGTATTCATAAAGAGTCTGGATAATCTGGTAATTGAAGCCCTTGGTCTGACCAAAGGATATTGATGGTTTGTCTTCATGAGACAATCTTATTGTATTAAGGCTAGGAAAAATATATCATAGACCTACTTATTTTGTATCAGCTCACAAGATAGTTAAATATGGATATTCCCAATCATGTTAATGGTTAATGCTAATGGTCCGTGTATCTGAAGGTTATTAAATGGTAGAATGTCGTAAAAGGTCGAAACATTAAGATAACCCCCAAAAACAAACAACAAGTGGTATATTTATCTCCGTAAATGAAGTTTGTAGTTGACAGAAGCATTCCATATGAATTCCATAAACGAAGATCACTCATAAATGTGAATAGATTGATACGAAAAAGTTGAATTTGTTGGCGAGGCCATCAAATTACCACCCAGGATCGTCCCATTTCATTCTCTATCCTACCAGAGTTGGGGGTACTCAGGATTTTTTAGAAGAATTGGTATTGTCCCCAAGCAAGAAAATGAATTTTGTTAATTTTGCATGGAATTGATGACCCCTCTCCCCCCGCACTCTTCTGATTGTTTGTTTTTTGTTTTGTTTCGTTGTGTTTTTTCTTCTCTCTATCTCTCTTGTTAGTGGTTTCACCCCCACCCCCTCTAGATCCACGTATGCACTCATTTGCAAACGTCTTCAATTCCACCTTCCATGGAAGACACCCCCCCCCCTCCCTCCCTCCCTCCCTCTCCCCCTCCCCCTCCCACCCCTGCCCCCTTCTTACCTGCATCATAAAAAAGACAAACTTGCACATGAACCTTCCGAAGATCCACGTCGGTATGGCATAGACAATTGCAGTGAAGGGTGCACAGCAGAGCAGAAAAGATACATCAGTGATCGCTAAATTTACGATGTAATAATTCGTCACTGTCTTCATCTGACCATGGCGTATGATCACGTAGATGACGAGGAAGTTGCCGACGACTCCGATCAGCGTGATTAAGAAGAAGATAGCTGGAACGAGCCAGTTCTCTACGGAGAGTTGGTTTCCGGATGTGAATGCTGTGATCATGGGAGCGATAGAAGTGTTTTTGTCCGTAGATGCCATAGTGAGAGAGGTGTGCGTTGAAGACTCTATGGATTGGTTATGATCCCACATGGTCTCATGGCATTGTGACGTCACGGTCCTGAAGAAAAAGTGTGACAGAATATTGTTAGTTTGGAAGGTTGCATTTAAAACTATATTATCCTAAGCGTATGACATACTAATATGCCCTGAATATTGTTGGCACACAATTGATTTGGACATCTACACTTAACAAATGTCGCAAACAGGGAATGAATGACACCCCAACCACCTCAAAAAAATAAAAAATATATAAATCAATAAATAAATAAATAAAATAAACGAATTGGCAATCCAACGAAGTTTGGTATACAAATTGAATAATCGTAATAAAGTTTGAGATAAACTTCTTGTATTAGATTACCGCAGTCATGACAGTAATAATTGATGTTCTTATATGAAATGACAAAATGTTTGGAAAGCATTTCATGACAAATAAGAGCATCCATTACAGAGTTGTAAACCATCTCTTTTGTATGTGATGCACGAAACGCTTTCTTGTCAAAAGACCCTGGAATAAGAAAGTATCGTCTGATCTTTCTTTCGTCCGTGAAAGATATTCAGTCCTCAACATGAACTTTGCAACGATTCTCTCACACAGTCACATCTTGTAACTTCCTTCTTCTTATCTTCCTTCTCTTCTTATCTTCCTGTAACTGTCTTTGCCTCATCGTATCTTTATCTTTCCTCTGTCTTCTGTTGTTTTGAATGTTTGTACGATGTTGTTTTTATATAAAATAAGTTTGTATCTTATTTATGCTAAGTACTTATTTGGGGATCATTCTCATCAAGCCAATTCTGGCTTTCATGATTCCTCACTTCCTTGTATCTTATGTTTTTAATGAACAATCAATCACGATCAATTGGGCAAAAAGAATTTCCGTTTCGGTTTGATAAAATTTGGAGTTGACTATTAGGCTATTATGATTATTATTATTAGTATTAACATATGTATACTTTTTATGTTTTTTAAAAGAGAGTGAAATAAATAAATGAAATGAAATCTATTTCCAAGAACACAAAAGTGAACTCAAGGGCAATTTCGATACCATATTGTATGCCCCATAGGAACCATGCTCGGATGACGTAATACGTCATTGTCACGTGCCTGCATTTCAATTAGTGACGCACAAAGCTATTGAATTGATTTGCCTTCAGTTGATTTTTCCAAAGAAGTTGCGATCATCGTATTACATCAAAAGAACAGATATCACAGCTTTTGAAAGGTCACTGAATTCACTGATAGACTGTGTAAATGATCTCGATTAATCTGATTCTAGAAACAGGTGCGTGTACCTGCAGGGCTAACATCCGCCAAAGCTTTTCATATCAATATGACACGCTATGCGTTCATATCTACTGTAGATCGGAGTGTATCTTTGGAATAAATTACCGAAAAATCTTGATAAAAATCTGTGATACTGTTGACAACTTTAAGGCGCGTCTTAAAACGTTTCTTTTCAAACATACTTTCCAATGTTAACGAGAGGAAGTATGTTGAGCATATCTCACTCTTCTTATGTTACTCTATCCACTTTTCCTTCTTACTCTTCCTTACAGCGCATAGAGACATATTGTGATATGCACTATATAAGTACGGTATATTATTATCTTATTACTATCTTGGGAAAAAACCAGGGACCCGTTTCACAAAGCCTTTTTTCAATGAAAAATGACGAAAATCAGTGATTAAACTGCTTTTAACCAATCAGAAGCAAGGATTTCACTAGCTTAAAACAAAAACTGTAATTCGTCACTGACAAACTGGTATTTTGCTGGAAAAAGTCACAGAAGTGATGATATTAAATGATATCCTGGCAAAAACATACACCAAATCGCACAAATTGAGTTTTTCTTTAGCTTCTCAGGGGGGGGGGGGGGCTCATCCCCCTCAAACCCCCCCCCCCCGTTTTTCAATCAATTACATTTATTAACTGAAATTCTAAAATAGCAATATCTTATGTCTCCCAAGAAATGTCTTCTCCATAAATGAAGAGACTTTCTGTCTTGTATGGATGTTGTGATTGCAATAGTATCTGTCTCCTTGCCCAAGAGCGTAATATTTCATTACAATTAGTCCTGTTATTCAAACTGTAATGCAACCCTCATTATGTGTCGTGTAGCTCATATTTCAGTTGGCATGAGACAAGGATTGAATATCGAAGACATTGTTATCTTAATCAAGGACATCTATTTGTATAAAACCAAAGCAGAAAACAATTCCATATTTTTTTTCAAACAATTAATGTTATACTTCTGCTACTGTGTACTCCCGCGCAGTTGCGTAAAGAAGCTCCAGGCATGATAATAGTATTGGATATCACCCTGCAAAGTCCTCAAGGCGCTTCAATATCACCCCGGCTCTGCTAGGCTACCGATTTCGGTGCTCACAGCATTCAAGGAGTTCCTTCCTACCGGTACCCATTTCACACCTGGGTGAAGAGTGACAGATGTCTTGTCAAAGGGCATTTGTGCCGCGGCGGGACTTGAACCGCGGACCCTGTCCACTAGAACCTATCCACTAGACCACAACACCTCTACATTATGGATGGGGGGGGGGGCTTTCTAGATAGGCCATACTCCTCTCCTACCTTTTCCTGGGTTTCTTTTTCTTAATTATTCTTTTCCCTATTAAAAAAGGGGGGCATCGCATTTTTGATATGAGATAATTCTGTTCTTTGCGTTGTCCGGCGGTCCATCTGTATTTCAATTATCATAATAAGATTTTGTTTTGCCATGGCGTATTCTAACATATGAAAGGGCTGCTGTGATACGCTACATCTGTGGTGTATAGCTGTGATCTCGAAACCTCTTTACATGCCTTTGTTTCAAGACCATCCAACAGTATCATGTCAGGGCTTGGTAATTTGAAGAGGGTCCTAAAAACTACTGAGGCTATTTGTTCAATTTATATTGACGGTTAAATGTCACGTAAGTTCAGGTATCATATGCAACATCATATGCATCAAGAACACTTCATCTTAAGTGCGAGATGAAGAATGCATCACACCCGCGTCAAATACACGAGGATTGGTTTTACTTGTAGAGTAATCTACAACCACTTGAACATGGTGGTTTAGGGCGATGGCGTAGATTGAAGCTGTGATTTGAAGGGGAAGACTGGTCGTACCGTGGAGTATTAAGGGGGTCTGAGAATGGAATCCTGTCTTCTCGTTATTTATCTTCTACTACTTTTTTTTTCTTCTTCTTGTTTTTGTTTTTCTTCTTCTTCTTCTCCCCCTCCTCCTCCATATTATTTTTTGCTTCTCATTTTATTGTTTTGTCTCACATTCCCCCTTTCTCTCTCTCTCTCTCTCTCTCTCTACCTCTCTCTCTCTTTCTCTCTCTCTCTCTCTCTTTCTCTTTCTCTCTTTAACATGACTAACGTGTTTTTGTCTTCCTCGCCTTTTCACCTTCTACCATATCCACCCTTCAACTCTCCACCTACCCACCTTCATCTATTGCAACCCCCTTTCTTAAATGTTTGATTAAGGGTACGTGCCCGTGTACCGTGCCTGCCCACCGTACCACCCCTCCCTCTCCTGGTACCTCTCCAGCACTATCCGCTTAATCTGAAGGGGGTGTGATCGAACCTGCGATCTAGTTCAGTCGGTGTTCTCATTTCGCAATAAGCCTACACACAGGTAAACCCTTGTTGTGTGATGGAATTAAATGGATCTCAGAGAGCGGATCAAAGAAAACAGTCAAGCTAACATGTTGATGATAACCTAAGGTGGAAGTTAAACATGAAAGGTCATTAACTTGTCGTCTCCACCTACTATATTCAGAGCGTACGATGGATTAAAGAGCAACAAGCCGGTTTGAGAAAAAGGACTTTCCCATGACTTGCAGCAGGCCCAAACACGTATTTTCTAACAGACCAATCGCCACGTATTATGACTGTAAAACTTGCAAACTGTCTGCTTGTATAAGTGTTACATCATCACAATTAGTAGCGCGACTACGGAACATGGGCATTTGCCCCTCTTTCCCTAGGGGGGGGGGGAGACGACAACAGCAAAATAAAGAAATGGGGACATAAAACATGGGAGAAGATTCTGCAACACCATTCCACAAAATTCATTGCTCGTCTATATACCGGTTGAATTAGGGAAGACTGGTTGTCCATATTTACTCTGTGATCATAATAGAATTAAATATCAATACATGAAAGAAACTTGACGTTGAAAGAAGAGAAACGAAATTTACGACAATGCTTCAAATGTTTAAAGCCACCAAAATGAAGTTGTACGTAATGCCCATCGGATCTTTCGCAGACGATAACAAATTGTTTGTATTGAGTGAGGCATGTTTAACACAATATTTCAAATTGATACTAAACTCCATTTACTTATAAATTGTTACGACAGACACTTATCCTCAAAGAAAATTGAATAATCTCAAACTTGTTTCTTTATGTTTTTATTAAATATAATCCCCCTGGCTGTTTACTGTCCATCCCTCATATATATCAGCTGTTTCTTATTTAATCTTGGAATACAAACACCGCTTATCCAATTAGTTGATATTTATTGCCTGTTTAAACTCTTCCAATATAATCTGTTTTTAAAGCTGAATATAGTCCTTATAGGAAATCTGTCAATAAGGAAACTAAACCAACACACGTAGTACTTCTCTGTTTCATGGCGTTAACAATAATAGAGGACGGAGAAGGATAGACGGGTAGATAATTGTATTGGCGCCTGAATTGTAAGCTGTTAACTTGATTTGATCATCGTCTGTTCTCCCACGTTCTAAGTTTATATTATATACTGTGAAGGTCGTCAGTCTTTTAGGGCAACTCTGGGTACGTCTATACTATGTTTTAAGGCCTGGTTCCACTTTGGATACGTCTATACTAGGTTTTAAGGCCTAGTTCCACTACCGGGGTAGCAAAATATCTAAACAAATTACTTTGATCAAAGGTAGACTTATTTCATTACATTAAGTAAAAACTTAACTGTAGAGTAGTGCTTTGAAAATCATTGTTATAAGCACAATTTGTCTTGGAAGTATATGCTTTAGTTTATTGATTTCTCATTACCCATGCAAGATAGGAGGACGGTGAATACCTATTATCATATAGGAATTCAGAAAAAAGGGAAGAGCAAGAAAAAACGCTAAATCGGATTAGAAAGTCTTTGCCTCTAAATCGAGATTAATCTTGTGTTCATGATTTCAAGAGTTTACCTAATCTCTTTTTATTTACATAATTCAGTAATGAAGGACAAAATCTGCCAAATTGATTC